CCTTGGCCTCCTGAGCTTTCAGGGAGGACTCAATCTCTGCAACTTTATCTTGGCATTCAGTCAAGTCACCAAAGGATTGGGTCAGTTTCTTCTGTAGGTCATCCACAGAGTACTGTAAGGAGCTGCTGCGACTCTTTTCCTGTAATAGTGTCAAGGTAGGTGTTCAAGGGTGTTAGTGCAAATTACCTACCATTGGAAGCCCCTTCAACATGCATTTTATATATAAAAAATGTCTGATATTCATCTGTATGCTTTCTTTTCAAATCAATTCACATTGTAATACTATAACTACCAAAAATGTCAAATAAGTCTTCTTATTTCATTCATTTTTTTCTTCTTTTATTATTTTTTTTATTACTGTACAAATACTAGAAACTACACTTTGAGAAACAAAAAAACAATGTGGCATGCACAATGAAACACAAGTGATTTGTGTGATATAACCACCACCAGAAAAGTCAACAAACTTCTTGTACCTAAAACCCTTAAAAGGATAATTTTTCAGTCATAACCAATCAAAATAAAAACTATGCAACTTTTCCATAAACAAGTTTTCCATGAAATCCTTCATAGGAAATGTTGTTACACATAATGCATTTTTTTAAAATCATTTGCACTTACATTTATATATATATATATATATATATATATATATATATATATATATATATATATATATATATATATATATATATATATATATATATATATATATATATATATATATATATATATATATATATATATATATATATATATATATATATATATATATATAGACACAATTCCTTATATTTCAATTTTAACATAAAATAAACAACTTCAATCAGCAGCAATCACAGACCTGTATAACTAGTGACTATTTTCAAAACAGTAAAACCAGCATACTACAAAGACTTAGAACCAACCTCTCACATACCACGTCACATCATATGAATGTAGCAAAACACTAAATATCCAAACCATTCACAGGCAAAAACAGAAGTTTTACACAGACACCATCCCAAGAATTCAATGAATTACAGAAATGATGCTCAATTTATTTCTAAAGCATGCACTCTCTTCTCAAACTCATGGTGAAGATACAAGTATCTGAGAATCAAATAAGGGTTAATTTCTGAGAAATGTAAATGGCCTCTTCCTTAAGTTTAACTGCAGTACTGCAAGCACCACATGAATTCTGACAAAATGGCCTTTGAAAATAAAAATGCTCTTGGAAATCAGTACATTCAGTAAAATTAACCCAGTTATGAAAAGAATTATTCTGTTACACATCAATCACTTATTTGTACTTTAGTGTTAATCATGTAATAATTCTTCTTTGTTACTTAACTAGTTCATTTTTGTATATATATGAAAACAGCAAAATCCTTGTGAATTTACAAATAAAGTGCTATCAGACCTAATCCAGCCAATAAATCCTGAAACCAGAAATATTCACAAAATAGAAATATCTGTAGGCAAGACAAAGAATGGAAAAGTCCTTCCATCACATATAAAACATATCACAAAAGATGAGGTGTCTCTTGCAAAATCTTTATTAAATTCAACAAACTAAGAATGATACTCTACCATCAAACAGGACACCAGCATAATCTATCTCGGTGGCTATGCTAAACTGTTATACAATGCAGCCATTCCTTTTCAATACACTGCAGTAATTTGGCTACTCATGGTAAATATTTGACAATGATGGCAGTGTTAGGGAGATAAAAAGGAGAACAAAAAGGGCCAGAAAGAGATACAGTGGGATGAAAAGAGGAATAAAATGAAAAGGAATGTTTCAAGGAGATAATCTCTGTATTACAAGACACTTGGCATTAAGAAACAAGAGGGGGAGAAAAGGATAAGAAAGGGTGCATTTTCTACACACAATTAAAATATCCACTGCAAAAAGTTTGGACAATTTATCCACTGCAAAAAGTTTGGACAATTTACCCCCTACAATAGAGAATATAAGCCATAATCACACAGAAGTGGAAACTTTTTCAATTCCATGAACTACCCTCTTTACTTCACCTAAGTCTTGCTAATGCCTTAAAATATAATTAAATTGTCATATGGCCAAGAGGACTACAACTAGGGTGATTTTATTTACACACATCATCAGTGTTTTCATATTTAACATCCTTGCAAGTCACCAGTAAAACTTTATAATAAAAAATTGTGTATCTTGACAAATAAAAAATGGTTTCCAAGAGTGTTTTGAGATTACAGTTTATTTATGATATATCAATACTATTATAATTACTCTCATCATAACATATTATTTTCATTATCATGACTATTTGTAATCATTATATTTAGTATAATTATCATTACCATTAATGTCAGCTTTATCTTCATACATCATCATTATTTCCAGTATCATTCTCTAAAAAAATGTCACCCAATAATAAAATATGATGAGCAGTTCCTAAGTATATTTTTGTTTTTTTTTCTCTTCTCAGAGATTTAAACACAAAACCAATGGTGCAGTTCCCAAAACAACAGCCCCTCA